TGATGGTTAATACTGAGTGTCAACTTGATTGGATTGAAGGATGCAAAGTATTGATCCTGGGTGTGCCTGTGAGGGTGCTGCCAAAGGAGATTAACGTTTGAGTCAGTGGGCTGGGAAAGGGAGACACACCCCTAATCTAGGTGGGCACAATCGAATCAGCTGAAAAATGTGAAAAGACAGACTGGCCTAGCGTCCCACCCTGCATCTTTCTCCTATGCTGGATGCTTCCTGCCCTTGAACATTGGACTCCAAATTCTTAATTTTTTGGAACTTGGACTGGCTCTCCTTGCTCCTCAGACTGCAGACAGCCTATTGTGGGAACCCTGACTAATACACGTGGTTTATGTTTGGCAAGGTCAAGTAAGGTGGCTGAGAAGTAGTCATTGGATTTAGGTCATTTGTCACCTATTCTGTAGCTAATTGTGAAGCAATGAGTGTAGGAGTCAGATAAAAGTGGAATGAGAAAGGAATGTGAGTTGAAATAAAGACAATATGTGAATAACGTTTTCAAATATTATTTGAAGGCTTTTTCCACTGTATTTCCTTATACACACAGGACTTCCCTTACCTTTAGGATTTTCTGAACTAAAGGAGGCTGTGCCAAAAACAGAGAGGTCTTTGGTTTGTTAAAGTTTTGGTCCTGCTTTAAATAGGAAGGTTTGTAATCAAGATAATAAGTTCAAGAGAACACACAAAGCTGTAAAAGCCAGGATGACTACCCTAAAGACTAGATAAAGATGTTTTCAGGTTGGATGAGAGGAGTTTAGAAAATCAAGGAGAGGCCGGGTGCGGTGGTTCACGCCTGTAATCCCAGCACTTAGGGAGGCGGAGGCAGGCAGATCACGTGGTCAGGAGATTGACATCATCCTGGCCAACATGGTGAAACCCTATCTCTACTAAAATACAAAAAAATAGCCGGGACTGGTGGTGCATGCCTGTAGTCCCAGCTACTTGGGAGGCTGAGGCAGGGGAATCACTTGAACCCTGGAGGCAGAGATTGCAATGAGCCAAGATCGTACCACTGCACTCCAGCCTGGTGACAGAGCGAGACTCTGTCTCAAAAAAAAAAAAAAAATTAAGGAGAATTTAGATGTAGATAGCGCTTTGAGAAGTGTCTTTGTGCCCTGTGTATTCCTGCCCACCCTTGGTGACTGGCCTGGCTATAGAACAATGGGGCAATGAAGGCTGCATGAGCCACTAATAAGTTTGGGGCACCTGAAAGCAAAGAGGACCTGTATCTTGATTCCCATGTAGACCTCAGGAAGGCAGCAGCAAGACCTCAGAGTAGAAAACTGTTGCTTGGTTTGTTTTGTGCAGAATTTTCCATTTTGTTTTTTACTGCAACCTATAAGAAGGGGTTCACTTTACACTGAGACCTAGCACACACTCATATATAACTGAAAGGTTTTGTGAAGCCATACTTGTTTCTACTATGTGTATTAGTTATTATTATTGTGTAACAAGCTAGCCCCAAATTTAGCAACTTAAAACAATTATTCTCTCAAAGCTTCTGTAAGTCAGAAACTTGGAGCAGATTAGCTGGGTAGTTCTGATACAGGTCTCTTAGGGGTTGTAATTAAGATGTCAACTGGAGCTGCTTCCAAGATGGCTCACTCATATGGGTGTTGGCAAGAGGCCTCTGTTCGTCACCATGTGGGCTCCTCCATAGGGCTGCTTGAGTGTCCTCACAACATAGCAGTTGAGTTTCCCCAGAATAATTGAACTGAGAAACAGCAACAAGAAAGCCACAGTCAATACCGTTTTTTGTCCTAATATTTAAGACATCTTCACTTCTGCCACATTCTGTTCATCAAAAGTGATCACCATAACACTATTTAGGGGGAAGAAAATGCACTCTGCTAAAAATTTTCAATTTTTCAATCTCCCTAACACTTGAGGATAGCCATGTGATATAGTTCTGGCAATAAGATGTAATCGGGCATCTCTGGGAAGGTCATGTCTTCCTCATTAGAAAGGCAAAACTTTTTGGGAAAAGCCCTTATTCTCCCTTTTCTCTCTCTTGGAATGGAGAGTGGAGACCTGGAGGTGCAAGTCATCTGGCAAATGTATGTTAATACAAAACCTACAAGTCCAGAATGGAGGCCTGGAAAGCTGCATCTCTGATGTTATTCTTGGGCTGCTCTTTCCTTGACTTGTTGAGACAACCCCTAATGAGTTGGAAAAAAAAAAAAAAAAAGTAATGAGTCACTAAGTACAGCTCACACTTAAGGGGAAAAAAAATTAGTTTATATCATTTGAAGGGAGGAGTACCAAAGAATTTTACAACTATCAAACCATGTGTGGTGAAATCTGATCTGTTTTATTCTGTCCTACACCACTTCAGTTTGTTTTAAATGTTGGTTATAACCCATTACACTAAATTCATGACTTATCATTGGTTGTAACCCACAATGTAAATAGTCTAAAATCACTCTATTGGCAAAACTTTAGGGAAACAATCACACTCATAACTTGATGGTGGAAGTGAAAAATGGTACAACTTATGGAGAAGGTAATGTGGCAATTTGTATTAAAATTTAAATGTATTTAGCCTTTGAACCATCACTCCTACCTATGAGATTCTACCATATAGAAATACCTGCACACATACAAACTGTTTTATGTGTAAGTTGCTTCACTGCAGCATCACTCTCCAATAGTATAAAATTAGAGATAACATGTTGATCAAAAGAAGGTGGCTACATTTTGATATTACCAAATATTTGGATATTTTGATATATCCATGCAGTGGAATACCATGAAGCTATTTAGAAAAATAATAACTTTGAATATATCATAGGGAACAATTTCCAGGATATATTATTAAATGAAAAAAATCAGTGTGCATATAGTAGCTAACTTTTGTGTACAAGAGGGAGAAAATTAATATGCCTTTCCTTACTTTTACATAAAGAAACAAAAAATTAATAAAAAGTGGTTGCCTGAGAAAGGTGAGGACAAGGTGAATAGGGCAGATGTAGGCAAGAGACTTTTAATGTATATTTGTTAAAAGATAGTTTGGCTAAATATAGGATTCTTGGTTGACAGTTTTTTCTTTTAGCACTTTGAATATGTTATCCCTCTGCCTTCTGGCCTCCACTGTTTCTGACAAGTCAGTTGTTAATCTTATTGGGATTCCCTTGTGTGTGACAGGTCGTTTTTCTCTTGCTGCTTTCAAGGTTTTTCCTTTGTCTTTGTCTCTCAGCATTTTTACTATTTTACTATTTGCTATCTGTGTGTGTCTCTGTGTTTGTCTTACTTGGGATTTTCTTGAGTTTCTTGGATGTGTGTAGATTAATTCTTTTAAGACTCAAATTTGGGAAGTTTTCAACCATTATTTCTTCAAATACTTTTTCTGCTCTTTTTTCTCTCCTTTTTTTTTGGTAGTCACATTACATATATGTTAATGTACTTAACGGTCTCCCAAAGGTCTTTGAGACTGTATTCATTTTTTCTGCATTTTTTTCTCTCTGTTGTTCAGCTTACATAATCTCTATTGAACTATATTCAAGTTTGCTAATTCTTTCTTCTGCCAGTTCAAATTTACTGTTTAGTCCCTGCAGTTAAGTTTTAATTTTAGTTATTATAATTTTCAACTCAAGGATGTCCATGTTTCTTCTTTTATAAATTCTATCTTCTTTACTAATCTCTATTGATGAGACATTTTCAACACGCTTTCTTTTACTTCTTTAAGCATAGTTAAAAAATTCTTTGAACACATTCATAATGTCTACTTTAAAGAGTTTGTTAAATTTGCTATCTGATCCCTCTCATGGACAGTTTATTCTGTTGCCTGCCTTTTTTTCCTGGGTATGGTTCATATTTTCCTATTTCTGTGCACGTCTCATATATTTATAGTTCTTGTGGTTGCAAACTGGATGCTTTCAATAGAGAGAACCAGGGGAAAAGACAGCTAAGAAAAACCTTCATGGAGCAACTCTGTAGCAGCTCCAGATACAGGTTTCTACTCCTCCTTCTGTGGGGCTTATTACTGTTGTCTGTTTATTTATTTGTTTAGTTACTGGACTATTTTGGGGTAGTCTTTTTTTTTGGTGGTGTGAAGCCTCTGGTGTTGCTCCTCAGAGAACACAGCTTTGGGTATGCCTACAGTCACCCTTGGAGAACCTTGGCTTTAGTAGGGCTCTGTTTGTCTCTTTTCCTGATCACTTCTAGATGTTAGGAGTCACCAATTATGTGCTAATTGCCTTATTGTTTTTGACAATGCTCTAAGGCATAAATTGCTTCACGGTCTTCACGGTCTGATCCAATTGCAGGGGTAGTTTTTGAGGTTAGTTTAGACCTCAAGAGAGCTCTTTTTAGCTGTCTCTTTTCTGGGTTCTCTCTGGTAAACTAGCTGCCTATGGTTTAGCTTCTATCTCTCATGAAGTTTCTAGCCTCCTCTTCATTACCACCAAAACTCCACTGTTTTTGAGAATGCCCATAGACTTGAACTTCTTCACACTTTGTTTTAAATAAAATTAGTTCCCTTGGAGAGAGCTTCAGGGCTGTCTGTTTAAAGGCCTGTCTCTACTCCTATGCAAACTCTCTGAGTCATGGCTCTGAACAGTGGGGGCAGGGATGGTGGCCTGCTTCTTTTGGAATGGTTGCTCCAAAAGTAGAGCATTGGGTGGGGGGTCATAACATCTGGTCTTCTCAGCTTGCCTGTTCAAGCATGAAGTCTCAGTCCTACAAATGAGCTTCTTTGAGAATAATCATGGCCCCAGTATTCCCAGCATGCCACACCCTAGTAAAGCATTTGCTCTATGAGTGGGAGTTAGGTAGAAGAAGAAAACCCCCAACTTCTTGGCTGCACTCACCTGGAATTTAACCTCTGCAACACGTAGCCTGAGAGATGTGAAGTTCTTGCAACCTGCTCCTCTGAGGAGAATAAGATAGTCCTGGGATCTCAGAGAAGGGAGCCTTGTGCTTTTTTCCACCTGGAATGGAGTCTCTGTCATACTGAGCTGGCAATAGGGAGAGAGTGAGTGGGTTATAATCCAAATGCCACAGACTCACTATTCTTACTGAGTTTTAGTAGATTTTCTTAATTAATGTTTCTCCATTTTCGATATGCCATTAGGACAATTTAAAAAGATTTAAAATGATTGTCTTGAAACTAATGTTCACCAGTTACACTTGTTGGGATCCACAGAGCTCTTCATTGCCATTCCAGAAGTGGAACTTCCAATGCATGTTTTATGTATAATTTTGATTTATTGACCCAACAATATCAAAATATATCAAAAATCAAAAATATCTGAAAAATTTTTAAAAAGCAGCCTGTGACCTCCTAATGGGTGTGGTCACAACCCTCTATGGTTCTGAGGTGGAGTCATGATTTTTCTGTGTTTAGAGAGGGGCTCCAAAGTGGTCATTTGAGCTGGGTCCTCTTGGACTTAAGTGGGAAATAATTATTCAGCAAGCCATGGATATAAGGGCAGAGACAGACTGATGGATGCCTTTGCAGATGCCAGGGTGAATGGATGACAATTGAGGACTTAGGTTCACCAGTGCATTGGCACTAATAAGCCCCTAGAACCTAGATGCTGTCATCTTAAGTTTTGCCATCTGGCAGAGTAAGATACCGGGTTGCAGAAAAATAATTACTTTCTTTCTTATACTACTAAAAGTGTAGACTAGAATTTAGATCAATTGTAAAAGTACAGGCAATTCTTTCTATGAGTTAGCTGATGGAAAGGAACTGAGGGAGAGAAAAGGAGGGAAGAATGGGAATTTTTCTTCTCAAGTGAGAGATCAGGGCATGCTTAAGTGCTCATGGCAGGGATATGGTTCAGTGGGAAGGCTAAGGATACCAGGGAACAGAAATAATAGATAGCATGAGATTTCCGAGGCTGGAGAAGAGACCAGCTTCATTATAACTGGAAAACATAGCTGAGAACTAGTACAAATCTAGTTTAGTTAGGTTCAGTGGCTAAAATATGAAGAAATGTGTATCTGATGGCTTCTATTTTCGTGGAGAAGTAGCAACAAACGTCACATTCCAAGAGGTTAGGGTTGGTTAAATGTTTGAGTGGAGAAAGTTTGAAGGGTCACAAAAGGGGGCAGAAGGAGTGAGCTGACATGTGAAAATGCTGAGATTGCCAGCAGGGTGGAAGGGGCAGGCAAGGCTATGGATTCTAAGTGCAGTGGGTACTAATTGACCTGATTCTGTAATTTTTCTCCAATGGTGTTCAGATGTGCTAGAGCAGGAATGGGGAAGTTGGATGACTGGGGTCATCTTGAGTGGAATTTTTCCAGAAAACAACTGCTCAGAAACTCTTCATATGTATTTTTTTAAAACACACACATATAGTTGTTTTCCAAATCAAAAACAAAATCTTTTCTTTTAAATGTTATGCTGTTTTCCTATCCCTTTGATAGTTGTCTTTATCTTCCTTGGCACTTTCCCAGGTTTCTCATTGTCTTTTTCAAAAGACAGAGGCAGTACAGTATAGCAGTTAAGAGACGACTTCTGGCACCAGTCTGCCAGGTGCAAATCTCATGTTTAGCACTTACTAGCTGTGTGATCACATAACACCTCTGTGCCTTGGTTTTCTCATCTGTAAAATGGGGAGAGTGATAATATAGTATGCCTTCATAAGATTGCTCTGAGGATTAAATAAGCTAATGCACCTACTATACAGAGTATTACCTGTTGCTGCATTATTTCCTCCCAAATGAAATACCCAAACGGGAAGCAGAATGAGACATGAAGGATTACATTCTGGCCTTTACATAGTACTCAATATTTAATCCATTCCATTATTTCATAGCTTTTCTTTCTCCTTTTCCCACAAAGTCACTATAATTGCATACTCATAGTAAGCAGATGGAAAGGTCAAACTCTTAGATTATTTTGAGAATCATTCTTTCTTCACCTTTTGAGGTATTGATTGTGTAAGTATCTACACTGGGTCAAATGGGTGGCTGACTTATACCTGCATATCTCTTGCTTCCAAGTTCATCTCTTTTCTTTGATAGCCTCTTCTGAAAATGCTACGCCTTTTCTTCTCCACAAGTAAACTTGTTATGGCTGATTGTTGTTACAAAGCCAGAAGGTCCTTGCTGAGGCTGTAAGCGCTCTGCAGATGAGTACTGTGGCTTCTACCTTTTAGTAGCCTTAGCTCCCAGGAAGTTGCCCTTATATAAAGTAGGAAACAAAAATGGTAGATGATGATCATGATGATGATAATGATGACAGTACCATAAGTGATTACTCTTGATTTCCTTACCCATAGACTTCTGTGGGAATAGAGAGAAAAAACATGGGGTTCTGAGGCCAAACGGACTGCAGTTCAAATCCTAGTTCTACCACTAAATAGTTGGATAGCCTTGGATTAAAAACAAAAGATTTAGAGCATTGTAAATTGTTCAGTAATTTATGAACAACTTTCTCTTTTTCCCCTCTAATTCTTGCCTACCATGACTCTCAGAGCCACTAACAGAATGGTCTCTTTCACAAGCCATGCTTTTCCTAAAACTTCCTGTCACTGAAGAGGTAGGGCTGGAATTCCTTTTCTTCCTTAAAGTTCTTCCTGCCATCACCTTGTCACTTCCAATCTCTCAGATTTTTCCTTCACTCACCAGGTAGGTTTTTTCTATATCACGTTTATTTTTCAATGCCTTCCTTCAATTCTTCTTCCCAGGCAACACACTAATTTGCAACACGTTCACCTCCTTACTCTAAGATCTCTCTCTGCCCTTTATTCACAACTGTACTTCCTATTCTATGATACCTTTTATAATTGGAAGACTTTATCATTTCTCTCTAAATCCCAAAAGTGACTCGGTGCCAAAAAATACACAATTTTTTGCCTTTAACAGGCAAATACTACAGATACCTGTTTTTGTTAGTACAGCTGCATGAAGTCTGTATATGTTTTATAAAATAAGGGCTAGAGGGGAGAGATTATCTCATCTACTTTGTACTACATCAAGTGTAGCAAAATATACACAATTTACAAACTTCTGATTTGTGATGATACACTGAGAAGCAGAAAAAATTAAAACATCTTTAGCTCTGACATGAATCATATATTTCCACCTTTGATTACAAAATAATGACATGCACCCACCTGTCAAACAAAGAAATACTTAAAAACATATTTAAATACTTTACAGGAAGAAAATGCTGGCTATTTCACATTGAAATCTTCATACGACAACTAATGTCTTTTCACATCTACTGTAAATAACTTGTTCAATTAAGGCTATGAAATGTTGAAGAAAAGAGGGGCAGGATGGAGGGAAAGAAAGAGGGAAAAATAACATTTTAAAAAATTCTGAGTAAATGATCCTGTGTATAGTTGTATTTAACATTAGAAAGTTCACCTACACAAATTCTGAATTATGTTTTTGAATTATTGTAAAACCATCTTTTTTGCTAGGATAGAAATTTAAAACGCATCTTTGATTTGCATATTTCTAAAGATATTTTCAGTTTGCTTGAAGTTCTTCTCCAACTTTATGCCTGTGTTTTAATACTCTGTTACATATAGTCCCACACCTATTCTCCCTTTAATACTACATTATCCTCGACAAGTCATAGCTATAAAGCAACCATCGGCTATTTTAAAAAACACAAAATACACCAAATTTCTAAATGTAGAAGAGTATGATCTTCTTGGAAAAGTCTATGCTAATTCCAAGAGGCTGCTTCTCAAAATAGTTACAGAATTTCTCTTTGGAATCGTTTTCAGTTAGCTAAAAGCCACATAGGAAACCCAACCTTGTGGCTTTATAGAGGTCTCACTTAAAAAAATAATAATAATTTAAATAAAGTGGCATGACTCACCTTATTCAATCAACTTGACTTCAAATTACATTTTTGGCTATCTCCAAAAATCAAATTTACCTCAAAAGACAAAGATTTTCTACAATGAAAAAAATTTTTTTTAATGTGAAAGCATTCTGAGCAGCATCCCAAAATTTATTGGAAATAAAAGTAGCATGTTAGAGTAAGGATAAAGCTTCAAAGTTTTCCAAGGAAGATCATTTTGGAGAGATGATGCGGGTGGAAGGAATGTTAATTTTTACATATAATCTTGGAAAACATTTTTAAAACACATTTATGCTCATACTTCTACTTGTCCTTCAGATGGCTGAATTTTATCTAATAATAACCACTTTTTCAAAATCCTAAAATGATTTTAAATGGGTTAAATGAATTAACGATTTTCCACAAAGGTTATTGGGGGTGGGGTGAGGAAGTGCACCAATGTGTGTAAGGATAAGACTTTTCCACTTGCAATCTAACCACCCAAGGCATGTCAGAGGTGCAAGCTCTAGAAGCTACAGTTTTGTTGGATGCTAGCGATTTAAAGGGGCTTTCATGCAGCTCTGAGGGTCTCCATTCATTCCTGAAATTCTATGTAGTTGAACAATACTAGCTGCATTCAATGTTTTGTTTGTTTCACAGTGTGGTCCTGTAATATGAGCTTTTCAGTTATAGTGAATGTTATTTTTGTCATTTTTGGCACTTACAGTTCACAATGCTTGGTTATGTGGTTTAAGATTGTTTTAATTTTTGCATTTTACATTCCTTTTGGCACTTTTGAAGAAGGGACATTGTTTTTTATGCTGTTTGGGAAAAGTGGTAAGCCTCCCCCGTCTCCAGCTTTAAATGTTTGGTTTTATGAAATCCACGACTCTCCCCCAGAATCTTCCATCATTAAATAATGCGAGTGGAAATTTGCCTTCATAAGCTGGCCATCCCAACCGTCTTAGAGGCTGGTATCCCCAGTTTCGGATTTAGGCTGTTTGGTCGCTGCCGTCACAGGCTCTGGTGGACCCTCTCGGCAGAAAAGTACAACCGGATTTTTGCGGGCCCACATGGCCATGTCCCCTCCCACTCCACTGGCCGGGTTGGAAGAGGGCACCCTGCTGCAGGCCCCCAGCCGGTTGGCATAGCGGTTTCGAAGGCGATTGCGGCTTCTGGCTTGCAGACCTGGGTCCTGGCTAGGCAGGAAAGCGTCCACATTCCTAGTCCGGTAGCCCTCCTCGCGGTTGCGCCCTAGGAGCATCGAAATGTTGGGATTGCGGATGGCGTAGATGACAGGGTTGATGGCCCCATTGGCCCAGGTCAGCCAGACCGCCACCACGTTGAGGAGCGAGGGGGCCTGCACTGTCTGGGCCTGCCGGGCGGCGGCCAGCAGCACCAGGAAGCAGTAGGGCCCCCAGCAGCAGATGACTAAGACGATCATGATGAGCACGGTGGTGGCCGTGCGCACCTCACTGAAGAAGCGCAGCACGCGCGCGTAGGTGTTCACGGGCCGCACGCGCACGTCCGACAGGCGCACGGTCTTGCAGATGTGGTAGTGGCAGAAGCACATGAGCAGGAAGGGCAGCAGGTAGCAGGCCACCACCAGCCCCACGCTGAAGGCCGCGCCCAGCTGCGCGGGATCCGGAGAGGTCCGGTAGAGGCAGCTGTGGAAGCTCTGCGCCGCCGCGAGTTCCCGGGGCGCCCCAAGCAGCTCCCAGGGCAAGGAGAAGCCCAGGGCCGCCAGCCAGGCGCCGGCCAGCAGCTGCAGAGCGCGGTGGCGGCCGATCTTCTCCCGCGGCGGCCGCACGATGGCGCAGTAGCGGTCCAACGAGATGAGCGCCACGCTGAGCGTGGACACGATGCCGAAGCACAAGCTGAAGAAGCGGCTGGCGGTGCAGAAGCCGCGCCAGGGCCCCGCGGCGGTGGCAGGCGCCGAGCCCCCGGGCGGCGTGAAGAGGTCCAGGAAGGCGGCGGGCAGGCAGAGCAGCGCCGTGAGCAGATCCGATAGGGACAGCGACAGGATGAAGGCGTTGGTGACGGTGCGGAGCTGCCGGTGCTTCACGATCACCCCCATCACCGCGCAGTTGCCCAGGCTAGACAGCAGGAAGATGAGCAAGAGGACGAGCGCCTGGGCCGCCACCGCAGCTCCGTGCGACAGCAGCGGCGCCGCCTCCGAGCTCAGGAGCTGCCTCACCGCCGCCCCAGCCTCCCGCGCTGCCCCGGACCCGCCAAGGCCGCCGCCACCGGGAGCGGCAGCTGTGCCGCCTCCGCTTGCGTAGCTCAGGTTCCCCAGCGCCGCGGCCGCCGCGGTCGCCACGGTGCTGAAGGAGACCACGGCTGCCGTGGCCGCGGAGGAAGTCCCGCCAGGCGGGCCGGCCGCGGAGGGGGCGCCGGGGTGTGGGCTGCCCAGTAAGGCCATGCTCGCTGGTGAGCGGGCCGGTGGCGGCGGCGGCTCCTCCATGGGGCTCAGTGGCGGCCGCGGATCTGGTCATCCCGCAGCGGGGGCGGCGGCCGCTAGGTCGGAGGGGTGGTTCGGGGCCGGGGGCTAGCGGCCGCTGCGGGGAGCTGGGCTCGGCCGGAGGGGTGGCGGTCTCTGGGGACCCAGCGGAGCCTTTGACGTGGGTTCAGAGCGTTGCCGAGGGAACCGCGTGTTTACGCAGGAGCGCGGAGCGGGACGCCAACCCAGTACCCGCTGCAAAGCCGGCCCAAGACACTGCCCCTCCGGAGGTTACCGGCGGGGGGCTTCGGGTTTCCGAGAGTGCCAGGTCTACCTCCTCAGGGACCACTGTCCGGCCAGATAAAGCGCGAGTGGCATGCAAACCAATGACCACATTCAGCGAAAGTTCACTCTTGCTCTCTTTTGTAGGGTACAGATGTTCTACAGGCAGGCCTTTTGGGGAGCAGGTGAGGGGTGCTTTGCTTCCTGTGGGTGCTTTTGGTATATACAGGTAGGAAAGGAATCTAGAACGTGAAGTGAAAGAAAAATCCAGAAGTCTACATCCAGACATCTTCAACTTGAGAAGTCGACTAATTTAAACCAATAATTCTCAAACTTGAGCTAACAGAAAATTCACATAGAGGGTGTGTTAAAATACAAGTGACAAGGTCTCAACCCCAGCGTTTTGGATAAGTCTGGGGAAGTGCCCAAGAATTTGTATCTCTAACGGGCTCGCTGATGATGATGATGTTGCTGGTTCCAGGACCACACTTTGAGAACCACTGATGTCAAGAGCTTCATAAAATGCAGATTCCCTGGCTGACAGAATTACTGAGGATGGGCCCATGACTCTAAACCCTCTAGGTGATTCTGATACAGGTGCTCTGAGGAGCTAGGATATGCATCTTCTTTAGATGTTACTTCATTTCCATGGGCCTGGACCTCAGGCCCCTACTGGCTGATAAATGGAGGGAAAGGGATTGGTGCCTTGCCCTGCTAGCAGCCTTCATCTGTTCTCAGGAATGGGGTGTGTTTTGTGTCTAAGATGCTGCCAGCCTGGCAATCATCACAGATGCAGCTCCAGGTGTCTGGCTGGGAGACACGGGGAAAAGAAAGGCAGGGCTACCCGGGGAAGTTGCATCTCAAGTTTCTGGGCATGGCCCGTAATGGGGAAAAGTGTGATAAACCTTCAGGTTAACTAACCCTGGGCTCTTCTCTAAAGCAGTGGTTCAGAGTGTGGACATTGGACCAGCAGCATCAACATCCCCTGGAAACCTTGAGAGATACATATTATCAGGCCTACAGTGCATAGGATACCCCTGATCTACTGAAACTCCTGTGGTGGGGCCCAGGCACCTATGTTTTAACAAGCCCTCCCAGTGATTCTGATGCACAAATTTGAGAAACACTACTCTAAAGAATGACTAGTACATTTGTAGGTCTTAGCATCAATGGTATTAGTATTGGGAGTGCTTATTTCATTCAGAAAAAATATCCTACAGGAAATTTACAGTATAAATAGAAGAACATTTAAGGTGGCAAACCAAAACTGGGTTTCTCAGCCTCAGCGTCATGGACTTTTTGGGCCAGATAATTCTTTATTGCAGGGGCCATCTATACACTGTAGGATGTTCAGCAGCATCCCTAGCCCCTACCTACGGATGCCAGTAGCACCTCTCCCAGCTGTGACAACTAAAAATGTCTTCAGGTATTGCCAAATGTCCTCTTGGGATCTGTCAACCCCAGCTTAATCTAGACTGATTTCATCTTAATTTTGTCAATCAAGACAAAAAGATAATTATCATACATTAATTTATTTAGCAAATACAATCTTCTAAGATTGTGCTTAGTTTTAGAAAACAACAAATAAGATAGGAAACCCAGCCCAAATAAGCTTAAGTCACAGGCCAACACAGTATATTACAGTGTGCTAAATATTGTCTTAAAAATATGTGAGTGAAATTATTTGGAGGTAACTCACTCTTTCTGACGAAGACTTTGTACAAGAGGTGACATTAGACTTTTTAAAAAAAGAAGAAAGGGGAAGAACATTTGATGCATGTGCAAAGTCTTGAGGTTAGTGTTGAAATGATCAGTGTCTGAATTCTAGGATATTGGAGATGGGGAGTGAAGAAGGAAATAAATGATCAAAGTGTATTGGGGCTGCCTTATGATGGGCCTTGTAGGCCATGCTCTGGAGACTAAACTTCATCAGGGGAGGAGGGGCTATACCACAAGGGAGGGCTGTGAGCAAGTGCATGGTTCAGAAGTACCAGAAGGACTGCAGTTTCCTGGTTCCTTCCTTCTTCATCTTTCTCAGTGTCCTCTCCTCTGCCATTTCATCCTCTTCCACCTGCCTTTACATGCTGGAGTTCATCAAAGCCCTGTTCTCGGCTTCTCTGAACTCCCCCCTCAGCCCCATCTCACTCACATCCAGGACTTGAAAGATTATCTATATATTCTTTACTCAAATTATGTCTGCAGCCCCAACCTACATGCCATGCTACTTGGCATCATGTGCCAGTGGTGTATCAAATGGGTGCATGATCCTCTTCCTACTTCCCCTGAAAAACTTGGTCCTTAATACTCTGTATCTCAGAATATGGTAGAACCATCCTTCTAGCTTTTAAGCCAAAAACTTAAGAGTTTTCCTTGATAAATCCCTCCTCCTTACCACCAGTCCACATCCAATTCATCAACCAAGACCTATGGATTTTAGTTTCAGACTATCTTTGCATCCATTCACCTCCTCCATCCTGAATCTTGGCTCTCATCCTCTCTTTGGACTACTGTTGTCACTGTTGTCCTAACTAGTCTTCCCACATCCAGTCCCTACATTGTAGGCAGATAGGCATAATGCTCTTAAAAAAATTCTTCATGCCACTTACTTATTTAAACTCCTCTAATCAGGCCAGTGTAGTGGCATGTGCCTGTAATCCCAGGTACTTAGGAAGCTAAGGAGGGAGGATCATTTGAGCCCAGCAGTTAGAGGCCAGCCTGGGCAACATAGTGAGACCATGTCTCTTAAAAAAAAAATCCTATTGGCTTTCCCCATTTATTTTAGAATAAGGACCCCAATCCTTAATATTTCCTGTGAGGCACTTCATGATTTGACTCCTGCTTCCTCTCTAGTCTCATTCGGTACCACTTTCCTTCTTTTTTGCTGTGTTCCTGCCACACTCGGCTTTTATGACTTCCTTAAACCTTCCATCTTAGGGCGTTTGCACTTGCTATCCCCTCTGCCTGGAAAGCTCCCATCTTCCTCCTCCCTTCCCTAGCATCCCCATCTTCACATTAAGGTTAGTCCATGGAGGAAGCCTCCCTTGACTGATACCCTCCTCTCCCCATGTATTGGGCCAAGTTCCCCTGTTAGTTTCACAGCACTCTGTATTTTCCATTGTAGTACATAACCATGGTCTATACGTTTTTGTGTGATTATCTAAGTATTACCTGCCTTCCCACTGTATACTATACGAGGACCTAAACCTTGCCTGTTTATTTTATGAGATCCCCAGCACTTAGCACTCTAACAAACTGCTATACAAATGCCAACATACAAAAAAATATTTTTTGAGTAACTGTAAGAGGAGAATCTGGAATTTGGGAGACCACTTAAGGAGAGGCACTGTAATAGTCGGGTGAAAAATGAGAGTCTGAAGTGGACCTTTGCACTGAAGAAGGAGATGTTATGTACAGATTAGGGCAGGTAGTATATGGATTAGGATTCTCTGGGTGTAAGTAACACAGTGAGGACACTGGTTCACATAAGCAATATAGGAATTCACTGGAAGGACAGAGGAAGTTCCATTTACAAAAGGACAGTCTAACAGCAGCTCCAAGAAGAAAAGTCAGAGCAGTCCTGTGGGTAGGAAGAGCAGAAACTGATGGGAGTGATCTCTTTAGGCCACCACTGGAATAGATCAGCTTCAATTTTCAGACCTTATGTCATTTCTCAAGATCTCAGGTCTGGGGGAAAGTCTGACTGGTGTACCAGTTTCCTGGCAGTCCTAGCAAGACTACATGCAGGTAGTTTCCCAAAGAAAAAGGAGAATGTTGTTGATAAAAGAAGTGGAGGCCAGGCGTGGTGGCTCACACCTGTAATCCCAGCACTTTGGGAGGCCAAGGTGGGCAAATCACAAGGCCAGGAGTTCAAGACCAGCTGGGCAACATGGTAAAACCACGTCTCTACTAAAAATACAAAAGCATTAGCTGGACGTAGTGGCAGGCACCTGTAATCCCAGCTACTCAGGAGGCTGAGGAAGGAGAATCGCTTGAACCCGGGAAGCGGAGGTTGCAGTGAGCCGAGATTGTGCCACTGCACTCCCACCCTGGCGACAAAGTGAGACTCCAACTCAAAAAAAAAAAAAAAAAAAAAGGTTAAAGAAGGGGAAAGGCATGATGGCCGGAGAAACCCACAGCTATCCACCTCAGGAGCATCAACAAAGAGGACAAAGATTGTGAATAGGAGCCAAGGGTCAATCCCAAATCCCTAGCTTGGTGGATGGCGGTGCCATTAATCAAGTTAGGGAATATGGGAAAAGGGCCACAATCTAGGGGGAAAATGATCTTGGTTGTCCCCTAAGTACTGAATCTACAGTATGGTCTTAGACCTCAGAAATTAGGGATGTGGATGTGGTTAGTCTCTCTACAAGAGGGAAAACCATGGGAATGAGTGTGACAATTTAAGGACAGAGTAGTCAGGGAAGAAAGAAAAGCACCATGGATGGAATGCTAGGGAGTACTAAAAGTTAAGAAGCAGATAAAGAAAGCAAAGCTAGGCAGGTGAATGATATAGTTAATGAGGCACATTGGCCTATTGATAAATCAGCTGTTTTATGTTTTTGATTTTCAGAAAAGAAGGTAAGGCAATTTTCCCAGCCTCTTATGAGAACATATTTGTGATCTTCTGGTCAGCGCTATCCTTTACCTCCAGGTGGAGAGCTAACAGGCTTTTCATCTGTTTCAGAGCTTAGAGGAGAAGTTGCCAGCCAGGATTACCCAAACAGGTAATTAAGATAGGCTTGTCCAAAAGTTGGCTACTCACAGTACTCCAACCAGCAACATTAGCATCGCCTGAGAGCTTGTTAGAAATGCCCCACCCTGTGTCTGATGAATGAGACTCTAAGATTCCCAG